TGGAGAAGGACATCATGCTTGGGAGGGTGGAGGGACAGCGCAGGAGGGGAAGGCCCTCTATGAGGTGGATTGATTCAGTGACTGGGATAATTGGGATGGAAGTGTCAGAGACAGTGCGATTGGCACAGGACAGAGCAGAATTTAGGGCTGTTGTACATATGGTCGCTATGAGTTGCAAGCGACTGGACGGCACAAAGCAACAACAACAATAACAACTATCACTTTCATAATTAAAAGCTATTCAAATAGGATTTTACGGATGTTCTTGCAAAGAAAGATCTTTTCTGCTAGATTTGTACCTGAGATGGTAATAGGCTTAATTTAGTATGGTGTTTGCAAAAGTCATTAAAGCATTTTCACTTCTATTCTCTCACTTTATCCTTTCTACTGCCCTGTAAGAAGTTAAGTCTGGGTCCTAATCTCTCCTTGACAAAGGATGAAATTGGGGTGTGATTGCCTTATGTGATTTATTAGAAGACCTGCTCCAAATCAGGGATAGGATTCACACCTTTGAGATGTATTCGTTCAGATCATAAAGACTTCTTTTAAACAGATATTGAAAGGTTACCTAACCCACACAGAGGTACTAAGTAGAATCAACCGAAGAATTATTTTAAAATGAAAATATTAGGGCCTCATACCTTTGAGGCTCCAGTTCAGAATAAACACAAGGGCCAGTACACGACTTTTAAATATGGTTTCTACTTGACTCTGCGCTTAGGTAACAGAACTATCTGGGTATTCATGTATTCATCCAGTATTCATCTCTGATTTTTCCCTTTATGTTCGTTATTTGTCTCCCTAGTAGGTTGTTGGACTTTTTCAAATTCATTGGTCTATTTCCTATGTCTTACATAAGTATCCTCTCCAATCTAAAGAAATAAATTTTTAAAAAGCAATTGCATTCTCTATTTCAGCCTTAAAATAAAATCCACATGGAGAATGATATGAGATGTAAATGACTAATCAGCATAGAAGATGCCCCATTTTATGCATAAAGAGGTGCAGTTAATTTTTTTAACTGAGAATTTTTTTTCAGTTAGTATTTGTAAAGGCAAAAAAAAGTTTCATGACAAGCAACATTGATGAGAATAAAAAAACCCAAACAAACCACACAACTCAAATAAAACCCCCAAACAAATCCAGACACTTTTATCTAATGTCAGAAAGAGCGTTAATGGTACAATGTCCTTGGAGATGAAATTGGTGATTTCACTCATAATTAAATTTTTTATTTTATTTAAAGTTAGAAGAGTCAGAAGAGGTGAAAATGGATTGGCCTATGACTCAACAATCCATATCTTTGTGTATACTTAGTGAAACACACCTCATAATATCATTTAACTGAGTCTGTTATTGTCTATGCTAATAATTTGTTTCACTCACAAAGTGGGGAGCTCTGGTGGCATATTGGTAAGGAGCTGCATGATCAACTCAAAGGCATGTTGTTCGAATCAACCAGCTGCTCTGTGGGAGAAAGAGGGACAATCTTCACTGTAGCTGAAAACCAGCTAAAAGGCCAGCTATAAGTCCATTCCAACTTGATGGTACACAACATGAGTGAAAGCTAACTCTAGGTTATGTTCATATTTTTAAAAGAAAGTCTGTTACCTAACTTAAAATCCTCAGAGAATCTATTGAAAATCACTAGGCATTTTTCCAAGGTGAAACCAACATTTTTATAGCATCCATTTTTTTTATTATTCAGTGGGTTCTAGAAAAGCAAAACAAAACTGTTTGTAAGAGTTGAAAATAAGTGAACGAAGCAGTTTAAAATACCACTAGTTGAAAGTTATTTGCATGCATGAAAATTTAGATTTTTCCCCCCAAAGTAATTGAAAAGAATATCTTACCTGTATCTAATCTCCAGCAATCCATGAGTACTTCTGCTATTTAATATGTTGTTGCTGTTATGTGCAGTCGAGTGGCTTGCGACTCATAGCGACCCTATGTACAACAGCCCTAAACTCTGCTCTGTCCTGTGCCAATTGCACTGTCTCTGATACACCCATCCCGATTACCCCAGTCACTGAATCAATCCACCTCATAGAGGGTCTTCCCCTCTTGCGCCGGTCCCTCCACCCTTCCAAGCATGATGTCCCTCTCCAAGGACCTGTCCCTCCTTGCAACATGTCCAAAATATGTCAGATGGAGCCTCAGAATCCTTGCCTCCAAGGAGCAGCCCAGTTTGACCCTTTCCAGGATAAATCTGTTTGTTTTCCTAGCAGTTTATGGTACCCTCAATACTCTTCTCCAGCACCACAGCTCAAAGGCATCAATTCTCCTTCTATCCTCCTTAGTCATTGTCCAACCGTCTGATGCATAACAAGTGATAGCAAAGACCATAGCCTGTATCAGACGCACCTTAGTCTCCAAAGAGATACCATTGCTCTTAAGTACTTTGGAGAGGTCCCTAACAGCAGACTTTCCCATGGCAATACGTCTTCTAATTTCCTGGCTGCTGGTGCTGAGAGTGTTGACTGTGGAGCCGAGCAAACTGAAGCTGTGAACAATCTCAATCTCTTCACCATCCATCCTGATGCTGCCAATTGGCCCCGTGGTGAGAATCTTTATCTTGAGATTTAGCCTCAATCCATATTGGAGGCTGCAGTCCAAGCTATTTAATGTATCATTTCTTAATTTGAGCCTTCAGAATTAAGGACACTCTGTAAGACATGAAGACGTACGTCATATTTATACTTGCCACTGTTTCTATAAACCTAAAGCCCACAAACATATTTTTGAAAATCTTTACTTCAACTGCTTAGTCTCACCATTTGTCTGCTTTTGACCTTTTGTTTTATTGATGCTGTGTTTTGGCTTTATGGAGTCAAGTTACACAGCAATATTGTTCTTCCCCTGCAGGCGGAATTCACAGCCATGCGGGAGCAGTACATGCGAGGTGGGGAGGGCTTCATCATCTGCTACTCCATCACAGACCGCCCATCGTTCCAGGAGGCTGCCACATTTAAAGAGCTCATTTTTCAAGTCCGGCACACCTACGAAATTCCGCTGGTGCTAGTGGGCAACAAAACAGACCTGGAACACTTCCGCCAGGTGAGTGCCAACTCTCCCTGTTAGCCTCTGTCTTGTTTTCAGAGAATACATAATACCATGGATGGCTGTTTTCCAAGATTCACACTGAAAATGATGAGAGAGAAACCATACACAAAATTCTTGCAGAAATGTTAATCAACCTATGGTAGATTGCATTTTTATAGTTGACTCTCACAAGATCTTCTATATCACAGGGTATTTTGCTATGTCCTCATCAGTTTCTAGTCACAAAATATATATTTTCCCTTCCCTCTTGGATTCTAGGTACTTTGTGGTTGTTTTAATTAGGAAGGTGGGGAAGAAGTGGTGTTTAACTTTGAAGATTGCATTAAGAGAGTTCTGCACTTTTGCCAATCAAATACTTGGTTTGGCGATCCAACGACCATATGAGGAAGTCCAATGTCTCCATGTGGAGAAATGCACAGGCACAAAGCTAAAGGACATTTCAAACCTTCCTTCTGTATCCACCAGGGTATACAGCCATTTTGGAGTCAATTTGCTTGTCCTTGGTGCTTTGGCCCACTGAACTATAAGAAAATAACATAATTCTTATTTTAAACCACCAAGTATTGTAGTAATATATCATAGAGTATACCTTTTATTTAGAATTTATTTGGAATCAGGCGTGGCATCCACTTCCTAAATAACATACCTCCAGAAACTACAGACTTAGATAAATCGATAGTTGTAGAGTGTCTTCAGGCCTTTTGTTCATAGGGTCACTATGAGTTGTGCTTGACTTGAAGGCAATCAACACCAACACCAACACCAACACCAACACATAGTTATTTATAGGGCGCTCTGATTGCTTCTCATGTACCATTGAAATGGAAATAGCCCATAGTTGACCCTCCAATAGTTTTTCAGAGGCAATGAGTCAAATTGGACGAGATTGCCCATCTCTCTCCCACAGAGCAACTGGTTGATTCAAACTGCATACCTTTGTGTTGGCAGTACAATTTCTTACCACCAGCAGTAAAGAAATGTATTGCCAACCTGAAGATAAGTAATTCAAATCCACAAGCTGCTCTGAGAAAGAAAAGGGGACAATCGACTTTCACACATTTACAGGCTCTGAACATTTTCTGAAGGGTTGCTATTAGTGGACTCCGACTCAATTGCACATAACAGCAATTATATATATATATATACCTGTCAACACATCTACATCACAATATCATTACATCTCAATAGCTTTATAATTTAGCCTAACTCTATATATCAATATAGATATAGAGAGCATGGTCTTTCCACTCATTTGTTATGCACCTGAGAGCTGGACAATGGATAAAAGAAAAACTGATATCTTTGACCTGTGGTGTTGAAGAAAAGAACTGAACATCCCATGGACTACCAAAAGAACAAACAAATATATATTGTAGATGATGCCGCCAGAGTGCTCCTTGGAGGCAAGGATGATGAGGCTTTGCCTCACATACCTTTGGCATGTTGCTAGGAGGGGCTGTTCCTTGGAGAGGGACATGCTGCTTGGAAAGGTGGAGGGTCAGTGAAAGAGAGGAAGATCCTTCACCAGGTGGATTGGCTTGGTGAGTCCTGCAGTGGGCTCCAGGGTGTCAGGAAGTAAGAGGATGGCACAGGATAGAGTGGGGTTCCGATCCTCTGTTCATAGGGTCTCTATGAGTAACACTCATCTCAACGGCACTTTCCAACAATGACATATCTGTATCAATAAACATATATCACTGATATCTATATATCTGTGTTATCTATCTATATCTATATTTAGTTCTAGTGTAATAATAGTTCTTTCTGCTTCTGCTGTATCATTGAGATCCTCAAACATTGTGCAATTTCTCCATGCAAAATCAACAAGGCAAAAAACACATTTTATTGAGATTGAGATGGACTTCCAGAAGTCATATAGTTTATATTATTCATTCTCATGTGATCAGGAGTTACTTCTTGGACAGGAGCTAATGGACAAGCATTGATCACTTTGCCCCTGAGGCTTCCGCATGGTAAATATACTTCACTTGACCTTGGTAGACTTGAGATTATAAAAGAAAAAGCCTGGGTCAGAGCCTGGGTAAATCCTCTTAAAATTCTATTGCCTTGACTCATACTGTACAAAGTTACATGGGAAATTTTATGAAAATCAAAGTTTTGTAAACACAATTTTTAAATCCAATGACTTAGAGTTCTAGATGCTTTCTCTTTATTTATGTTGACCTCAAATTCAAACAAGTTTATGTTATAGTTAGTAATTTATCTTTAACCTCTTTAATGTGTAGCATCTGTCCTATAGCAAACTATTCTTTCTTAGTGTTAGTGTTTTTCAAATGTAAATTTTTATTATCTAATGCTCTACACATTTTCTTAAAGTGAAAAAAAATAAGATAAAAGTTTTCAAAACTGGGCTTAAATATCACTTGAAAGCATAATCTTGTCATTTAGTGCAATGGATTTTTGCTGTGTCTTTTGTTACACATTCCACTTGGAAGGCTAAATATCTTAAAAAGTGCAAGTAACTTTTTAAGGAGCTGTAATATATGTTTATCTCCTCACACTTGTTCACTGCCTTTCTTTATGGTCTTCCTCCACAAGAATTTTTAATGTGATGTGTTGCAGTTACTAATGGTTGTGCATTCAAATTTATCTCACCAGTGAACAATTATTATTCTATCCTTTGTCAGAAACAAAGTAGTGGTGTATGAGCAAATCAATAGAATCCTTCTGCTGTTCCTTTCAAGAGTGTGCCCATAAAGAACACAGCTTCGGAAATTTTACGGGGAATTCTGCTCTGTTCAACTTGACTCAACCTAGCAACAATGGGTTCTTATCATCTGTGAGAAGAAAAGGAAGCCTTACCAATATCACTGGAACAAATACTAAAAAGGGATTTAGCAGAGTAATTTTACAGACTCGATAAACTTTCCCTTTTACTTTTTTTATTTAAAAGCAAGTAAACAAGATTGCATTTGAACAGATAAGCACAAGAAACATTTAAAAAAGATCAAACTGCAATCTTTGTAAATAGGATGTGTGTACCAACATCTTCAATAATGAAGTGATGATGGGTAAATTTGGCTTCTGGCTGTGGTGGTTGTGATGGAAATAATTAGTCCTCTAATTGTAGACTTTTTAAAATCCTTTTCAAGATGCTTTCAATTCACACTTTATAGTAATGTGAAAACTACCTCAAATAACATAACTTTAACCTCAGATATGACAACCTTCTGTAGCATAAGGATAACAAAGAAGTTTATATATTGATAGAAATGGACTTTAATAAATTAATAAAGGAAAAATAATGCTAAAATCTAGATTGTGTATTTCCATCACATCAACATGTCAGTTTTATCATTTAAAAATAAAGATATTAGCTTATATATCCTCTATAGTTTGAAATACTTTTGTTAAAGTTCCTAAAGTAATAAAGTGCAGAACTTCAAAGAGTCTGAAGAAATTAATAGTGGTTCTCTTATTCAAAGCTGAGAGACAAAGAAGTTGCATTCTCTCTCAAACAGTTCTTAGTTTGCCTACTTCTTTTTTTTTTTCTTATCTGCTCATCTACTCTAAGCTTTTTGCTCTGTTGTACATAGTGTTTTTAAGGGCATATTATTTGAGGTCTTAATGTTCACTTTGAAGCTTAAAACTGTTTTCCACTAACCACATAATGAATGGAATTCCAAAATCTCTGTAGATGTTCATTGAAATGAAAAATAAACAAACTAAATTAATAATAATAAGAAAAGATTTCCCATTAAAAAGAAAACCTTCACAATTTTATGGGAAAAGGCATGTAGAAGTTTTGGGACTTAAGAATAACAAGATTAAGAAAATAACATCTACATATAGTAATTCCAAGTACCTCTGCTTCTCTTCAGAGACTGGGAGACTGCGGAAGGATCGAGTACATCTTGTTTCTTTCAGAAAGGCTGGTGACCACTAGTGGGTAGGAATTGCACTGCCAACCCCAACGCACATGCTTGGAATCCACCAGCCATTCTGCAGGAGAAAGATGAGTAATCTCCTGTGTGATTTACAGCCTCTGAAACCATTCTGGAGGGCCAGTTGTGGTTTGCTTCTGACTTGACGGCATAAAAACAGCAACAACAGTATACTCGTGATGTAGAAAGAAGGGATATTAAACAATAACATTAAACGTTAAACAACATAACGTTGTCCATAAGTCCAATTGTTGCTCAAAACCTGGAAAACTGATTTGGGCAGCATATTTGAGAAATAACCCACAAATCACAAACTCAGTGCCATTAAGTTGGAACCAACTCATGGGTGACCCTCCAGTGGAACTTTCAGAAGCTGTAAATTGGACAGGAGAAGACTACTCATTTTTTTCCCTCAGAACAGCTGGTGGATTCAAACCACCTGTCTTTGGGTCAGCAACTCAACTCATTATCCACAAGAACTCCCACAGTCCAGTAGAGACACAGAAATAGGCAGAAAGGATCAGGTTACAAACAAGAGTAAATCTAGAGTGGACGGGATGATTCTAGCCAACTGTTGACAAGTGATGGGAGTGGTCAGTGGAGGCCTAAGGAAACCAGCCCATCCCATTCTGCACACACGGTGAGCCTCTTCAGACAGAACTCCTACCTCAAAGACACATTCCAACCAAATGCAAATTTTTAACAAATTCTATTGGATTGTTACCATACAATAATGAATGGCTAATACTACTCAAACTAAAAACAAGACAAATAACAAAAAAAAGAAGTACAAAACAAATAACAAAAAAAAAAAGAAGTAGCTCTTCATGTTCAATCATCAGTATAATACGTAATTCAAGGAAACACATTTTCTAAATTATAAAAAAAATTCTGAAGGACAAAATGTTGATCATTTACCCAGTTGTATGGAAATAATTATGCTGTTAAGTCAGTTCTAATAGTAACTCTAGACTAATAGTAACCCTATAAAGTGGAGAATAATTGTCCCTGTAGGGTTTCTAAGGCTGGACTCTTTATAGAAAGATATTGTAGTATCTTTCCTAAAATTCAAACAATTGATCTTTTGGT